CTCCTGTCTTTTCCTTCTATCTTTTACTAGCTAGTTGAATATCTTATATAGTTTCTTTTCTCTTTCATATTTTTTAATAATATTGATCTATTTATATTAAAAACACATTGTTTTTATGGATGTTTTGCCTGCATGTTTGTATGTCATACATGCCTGGTACCCTCAGAGGCCAGAGAGGGCATTGGAACCCTTGGAAGTGGAGTTAGAAATGGTTTTGAGCTAAGCTACCATGTGAGTGTGGAGAATTGAACCTAGGTTCAATGAAAGAAAAGCCATCCTGAGTACGGGGATTAAAGGTGTATGCTGTCACACCCTGTGACTATTATCCTTTTTATTGAAAAAGTTGTTATATAAATAAATACATTTGATTATTTTTCCCTTCCCCAATGCCTACCATACTCTTCCATCTCCCTATTCACCCCAGTGTTTTTTTTTTGGAATTATCTTTCTTTAAAACAAAAAATAAACACAAGAAAGCATAATGAAACCCCCACAAAAATGAAAAGAAAAACAAAAGAAAGACCAATGCCTTAATTATTCTGTTGCTATGAATAGACATTATGACCAAGGCTAAGGGACCAGGGAACCCTGGGACTGTGGAGATTAGGCCCCTAGTAAGAATGGGGCACTCCCCACCTCTCCCAGCCCAGGACGTCACCTAGTCTAGTAGCCAGGTTAAACTTCTTCTCCCCTTATAAAGTCATGTAGGGCAATTGCTGGAATTCTCCCATATGCAAATGAGCTATCACCAGTGCCCTGGCCTAGCCAGTAAAGTACATTTTCCCAGAAAACCCCTACCCAACCCTCAAAGGTTGAAGTGGCCTTTGTTTCCACCATTGAATGAGTTACCACTGCCTGAGGACTCTTCTACATCTGGCTGTTCCCATTCCTCTCAAGGTCTGCCTGTCAAGATCGCCATGAGACTTTGTCAGGAGGCAAAGTCTACCCATAACCAGCACAAGGCATCTCAAATAATAAAGCATTTAATTGGAGGCTTGCTCATAGTTTTAGAAGGTTAGTTTGTTATGGCAGACAGTCATGGTACAGAAGCAGTAGCCAAGCTTACATTTTGATCTACAGGCATTAGTCAGGGAAAGACTGGGCCTGGTGTAGGCTTTTGAAACCTCAAGCCCACCCATAAGAAAGAAAGTCCACCTTCTTCAACATGGCCACAACTCCTAATACTTCTCAATCACTTCACCAACTTGGACTAAGCATGCAAATATATATGAGCCTATAGGGGCCATTTTTTCTGCTGTTTTTTTTTTTTTTTTAAATTGGATATTTTATTTACAATACAGATGTCATCCCCTTTCCCCATTTCCCCTCCCTAGAAGCCCCTATTCCATCACCCCTCCTCCTTTATGCTTTTATACCATTTTGATTACATGCATGTATTAAGGTCAGTTCTAGGTTGAGGGTCTAGCAATACAATAGATGCAAATAGTCAAGGAACAGGCAAGACAATAAACACAAAAATAGTCAAAGAAAAAGCAAGGTATTAAACCCAATTACATGAACACTCCCATGATCACTGTTTCTAAGGGCTTATCAGGATGACCAAAGTATCTGAGTCTACTTCCCTGTCCTAGCCCAAGGTCATTTCATGTCTGAAGCCTACTACCTTGTTCTAGCCTAAGATTTAGATTCCTACCTGAAATTACTTCTTTGTACTAGCCTATTGTCAGATTCCTGCCTGAAGCCTACTTCCTTGTCCTTGGCCAATGTCAGATTCCTGCCAAGCAGCCCATTTCATTGTCCTTTGCCCATGTCCGATTCTTGCCAAGCAGCCCCAAAGGCTCTCCACCTCTCCACCTCTCCCCCTTTTTATTTCATTAACAAGACTGAGCCTGTCTTAGATCATTCTGACAAGAATGCCTTCCTTACTTGTTATGGAGTATGCATTATCAAAAGCAATGCACTTTTGTCTTAGGTTGGTAAGGCTCTGTGCAGAATCTTACCTTGGTTTGCCAGCCTGTTAATTTAATAACTCTGTCTGGGGGTCCATTTTCAGGTTCAAGCCAATTAGAAGATGTACAATCAATGTAACTTACATTAAATACTGTAGAAGAAACAAAAGTATTTTTAACTTGATAATTAAAAGAGCCTGTCCTGGTATCAGCATATCTCACCCATCATTCTGGCGGCCACCATGCTCCTTCAGCATCCTGCAGAAAAAACACAAACATACCCTCTTTCCCATATTTAATACCTGATCCGGATCATGCCATATGCCAGTAAGTGGATCCTTTCCTTTCACCTATGCATAATGTATGCCTAGTTGTAGAGCGCCATAGACACTCAGCAGAAAGTTCCTTGGCATCTAGGTTTTTTTTTTGTTTTGTTTTAAAACAAAAAACAAAACCCAAAAAACTTTAAGATAAAAAACCAGAAAGAATACAATTTAAATAAATTTGTGGTGTACAGGGGTATATCTCCCCCTTTTTTATTTTATGAAGATATAGTTTTAAAGTTCCGTTCCACACTCTCTTGTCCTTGACAATTAAAAGGAATCCCAGTAATATGGGTAATGTTAAATTGCTTCTAAAGATTCTCAAATGTTCAACTGCCATAGCCAGTTCATTATTTGTTTGCTTGTTTGTTTTTCTTTTTATTTATTTTTTTATTATTGGGTACTTTATCTACATTTCAGGTGTTATTTCCCTTTCCCCATTCTCTACCCCCAGAAGCCCCTTAACTCATCCTCCCTCCCTCCTATTTCTATGAGAGTGTGCCCCCACCCACCCACTCCTCCCTCCCCTCCCTCTAATTTCTCCTAACTGGGGCATCTAGCCTTCCAGGGACCAAGGCCCTCCTCTCCCACCGATGCCTGACAAGTCCATCCTCCTCTACAAATACAGCTAAGGACATGGGTCCCTCCATGTGTGTTCCCAGGCTAGCTGTTTAGATCCAGGGAGCTCTGGTTGGTTGGTATTGTCGCTCTCCAGGCCCTTGAACTCCTTCAGTCTTCTCTCTAACTCCTCTGCTGGGAACCCTGTGGTCAGTTTGATGGTTAGCTGTGAGCTTCCACCTCCATATATGTCAGGCTCTGGCAGTGTCTCTCTCAGGAGACAGGTATATCAGGCTCCTGTCAGCATACATTTCCGGACATCCATAACACTATTTGCTTATGGTGATTGCATCTGGGAGGGATCTCCAGGTGGAGCAGTCTCTGGATGGTCTCTCCTCCAGTTTCTGCATCACACATTGTCTCATATTTGCTCCTGTGAATATTCTCCTGTGAAGAAGGACTGAAGCATCCACACCTTGATCTTTCTTTTTCTTGGGCTTCATGTGGTCTGTGAGTTATGTCTTGAGTTTTGTGAGATTTTGGGCTAATATCCACTTATCAATGAGTGCATACCATGTGTTTGCTTTTGTGATTGGGTTACCTCACTCAGGATGATATTTTCTAGTTCCATCCATTTGGCTAAGAATTTCATGAATTCATTGTTTTTAATAGCTGAGTAATACTTCATTGTGTAAATATATCACATTTTCTGTATCCATTCCTCTGTTGAAGGACATCTGGGTTCTTTCCAGCCTCTGGCTATTATAAATAGGCTGCTATGAACATAGTGGCCTTGTTATATATTGGAACATCTTTTGGATATATGTATAGGGACCGTTCTTAATCAAACTGTCACAACTAATATGGAAAAAAAATGCCGAAACAAAAGCAAAATAAAACAAGCAGTTCACTTTAGTCAGGAACAAAACTTACAAGAAATACACACACACACACACACACACACACACACACACACACACACACACAGAGTGGCTCTCTACCAACAAAAGATCCAAGAATGCAGTGCACCAGGATAGATGTGTCATCTGGTCTTCAGTATATTGCTAGTGAAGGAATGGACAAGCAGACGAAGACAACAAGCTTCCTCCTTCCATGTCCTTTATATAGGCTGTCACCAGATTAGAAGGATCTTTCCACCTCAAAAGATCTGGATTGAAAGTGGGTCTATCCACTTCAAATGATTTTATTAATTATAGTCAAGGTAACAAGCAAGAATAGCTATCACAGGTGCTTTTAAGATTTTTTTATTACTGTTTTTTATTCTGTGTGGTAGTATGTTCCTATTGAATGCACGTACCTCAAAAGGCTAGGTCATTGGATTGATTACCCAGGATCTGGAGTTGTATAGGTGTTTGTGAGCTTCCTGTTTTTGTTTGTTTGTTTGTTTGTTTGTTTTTTGTTTTTTTTTTTGTGCTGAGTGGAACCCTCATTGTCCTGAAAAGCTGTGTCCCCGCTTAAGCACTGAACCATTTTTCTAGCTCCTCAAGTAATTTTAATAATAGTAAATACTGTTTTAGGAAACATTTGATATCTTTAAGGTAAACTATAAAACATTAAAGGTTATATATTGTATGGCAGAACATTTTTGTATTTTTGAAAAATATTGATAGCTAAAAAATTAAAACAATTTTTATAACTATTTTACTGTTCAGCATCATTTCAAAAAGTGTTTGTAACTTCAGAGTTAACTAAATAAAGAACAAAAAGCTAATAAAATCCTGAAAGTTTATGGACAAATCAGGACTATTTCAAGTATTCTGTATTTTATGGAACATATGAGAAACTAGATAAATGTTCAGTGAAGACTAATTTATGTCTCACTTAAAGTTTGAACCCTATGGTATGCTAGTTAGAGTATGAATAAATTCTGATTGTAACAGTTAAGTGATCATATTGTATTCTTTTCAAGATTTTGAGGTTTTAAATTTAAGTTTCCTTAAATTTAAATGTCAGCCAGTTACTTTGTCATGTTTTGTCTTCATATCTGAAATCATGTGAATTGTTACAGCTCGTATGTCAGATCCAGTGGAGAAAGTTTAATGCTGAGGCTGAATTTCTAGAACTTGACACAGTTTGTGACTAATGTGATTTACTTCCATTATTGTATGTACTCATAAAATATGGCTTATATGTGAATGAAATGCTGTCTGTATTAACTAAGGTTGTGCTTGCTGTTGTCCCACTGCAGAAAATTTCTAATGACTTGGTGAAGATAGGAAAACCATCAGAAAGGCTGAAGTACTGTCATACTGTAAGTATTTTTGAAAAGAAGTTTAAGAATATTTCATGTTGATTTGTTTTAGGGAAAATACATTAAAAATATATGCAAAATATAGAGTTGGACATTATAATCATCTTAATAATTTATAAGAACTAATTATGTGTTGCTTTTAAAAATTGAAAATGTGTTTTTATGTATTAAGATGAGGATTTTTCCAATAGCATTAACAAATATTTCTAATTCTAACAAAGATTGATCTATTCTGTATACATTTGCTTATTTAAAACTATCAGAATCCAGAAAATCATTGTAGTTTTATAGGTTGTGATTTGTTTGGGTGGCTTATTGTTTAGGTTATTTTGCAGAATTATTTATTTGCTGATTTATTTATGTATTTCATTATTTATTTATTTGATTATTTAGTAAATTATTTATCTGATGAATTATTAATATATCTTCATGACATGCTTTAAATTATTTATAACTTAATTTTGAGTTTATTGCTTTTAGACGCTGCATTGTTACTGACTAGTTTTGATCTTTTCTTTGTGGTTCTTGAAAATTAAAGTATTAGCTCTAAGGCAGAGAGTACATTCATTCCAATGCCGTAGACTTATTTTATTTTTAGTTTGTAGGTAATTTATGGCAGTGATAAGATTTTAGCTGTGTGTTGCTGTTCAGCCTTAAAGTTACCCTTTTAGGGTTACTTGAATGTGATAAGTCAGGGTGTTGTGTATGTGGTCATTGTGAGTTGTTTGCTGATTAATGATACAGTGTTTCATGTGTAAACAAAAATGGAACTTGTTAAACCTGACACCATGTTCTTTTATGTCTCTCTAAAGGAAGGTTTGCATATTGTTTTAGAATAAATGGTGGAATTATTTGATTTTAGTGGCAAGTCTGTTTTACCAGTGGAGTGCTTTTAGGGAAGTTTACAGGATTGAATTGCAGCTTAGATTTGGATCCTTTTTTTTTGTTGTTGTTGTTGTTTAAAGTCTATTATGTGAGCATTTGGAAAGCAGCTTTTTCTTGAGTAACTTATGAATAGATAGTCATCTGAACAAATGCAAGTGGTCTTCATTTCCCATTCTTACACTTGAATGACTTTGTGCTTTACAGTTTTAACACTTGAAAGAATAGCTGCACTGTATATCTCAAGTTGAGATGCTATGACTTCTATAGAGAAATTCTGTTACAGAACTGTCAATTATGTACATACATCCAAATTTCCTATTTTGAAATATTGAATATATTAATATTTAATTAAAATGTTTCAGTAATGTCTTTTTATTCTTGTCTTGAAAAATGTTCTACAGTGATTTATATAACATGGATTAGAAGTGTGTATATTATATATATCTGTGACTTTTGTATTCTAGAGATAAAGAACTTGATACACTATTACATATAAAATTCTATTTTAAAATGTTCTTTAGTATATTTATGTTGCCCTTTGAAGAAAAAAAAGTTGCTTTCTCTATTGCTGAATAAAGTACATATTAGCAGTCATGGTAGTCTATTGAGGGTACACTATTATTCAGACCTATTGATGGAATACTTACTGAATTATACAAGTGGGCATTCCTTTGATATTACACAAGTATGTACCATTACTCAAGCACAGGCATCTGGGAATTCCTTTTGACAATAAGATGATTTTGAGAGCTTGTGTTTGAAAAGAGATTAGTATAAGCTATTATAGGTAGTATTACTCAGTTATTACATATGCTGTACAGTGTTCACATATTTTACTTGAATTTCTTGACTTTCCCAATGAGGTAACCACTCTGATTGTAATGTTTTATTTTGAGGATGAGGAAATAGAGAATTGGAGATGCTAAGTGACTTGCTCATTATCACATAGCTGAAAGTAAGTGGAGGGCACTAGGATTAGGAATCATTTAGTTTCATCAAGAGGCCTTTCTACTGGGTTACAGTTTTATATTTGTAGATAGTATAATATACTATTTAACCAGAGATTTCTCTACAGTCTATAGTATTATTTGCTTACTAGTCTCTTACAGGTTTAGCTAGCTCAGTATATTCCATTTGTGTTAGACTTATCTTTCTTGAATAGCAGACAAATACTTGAACCATTTGGAATTTTCCAAGTGGAATTTTACAATCCATATATTTGAACAAAACTGCATACTTGTATCTCTGAGATCTTGTGTATTTGCCTGTTAGATAATCAGTTCTAAGATCAGTTCTTTGACAGTTAAACTCAAGGCTATTCCCAAGGCTCTGTTTGTTCAAGTATGACTTGTTCATAGGAACAATACTTTTAGGACTAGACACATAATTTTAAAAGAATATCTTATGCTTAGGTTTCATATGCATGGCCACATACTGTTAAATCAAACCTTAATATAGTGCTTAATACACAGACATTTTAACATGTGTATAAACAGAACAAAGTAATCATTTTAGATTCTAATACATCTACTTATATTTGAGACAGGGTCCCATTTTGTAGCCTAGGCTAGCCTGGAACTTGCTAATGCTTTTTTCTCCACCTCTGAAGTGCTGAGATCAAAGATGCACACCACCATGCCTATTCCAATGTGGCTTTTTAAGCCCATATAATTATCTAAAGGACTCCTGAGCGTCTCCGATAGTAAGATCAGGTGTCAGTTTGTATGAGGCTGATGGGAAAAGGTCTCTCCAACTTCTATTTGGTACTTGAAAACTGAGAGCTCTTTTTCCTGGATCTTAAATATTTATTCAAATAATGTTGTATCATGAAATCATCCATAGTTGCATTATTGATATGAAATATTACGATTGCTATGATGACAATAATTGTCTCCTTATGGTAGGACAGTTTTGAAACCATTACTTGTCAATATAGAAGGTTATATAGTTGACCTTTCCTGGGTTCTTTTAATGTCTGTCAAGCAGGACTTTCACTTGACATACAATATCATTAAACTTGTTTTCTGGTATGAATAAAACTAAATTTTATTATGAGCCCGATTTTAAACTTATTTTTTTATATAAACAAAACCAATTTTTATTGCAGGTTCTGGTAGCTGATCTGTTGTCTGTTAAGCAGGACTTTCACTTGATCTGCAGTATGGTTAAGCTTGATTATAAGAGTATCTCTTATTCTCCTGATGTAATTGTTATCTCAAAGGCTTTCTGCTGAGTAAGCTCACCCTTTCGAGTTCTTTCTCAACTCTGGCTAGCTGGTTTAACTCAGCTCTTCTGGCTCAAACTCCTCTCCAAGCTGACTGATTCCATCTGGCTTCTTTCAGCTTTTCACTGAATTACTCTGCTCATCCTCAAACTAACTGTGGTAATCTGTTCTAATCTGCTAGTTCCTTTTTATTCTTTGGTTGCAACAACTTCTGCTGACCTGCACTGAACTGCCTGAACTCATGAAGAAACTCAACTATACTGCACTGAATTCACTGCGCTGATTCCCATTGACTCAACTCCCTGCTAACCAAATCTCTCTCCCTGCTCTGCTCTTAATAGCTTCTCTCTCCTGTGCTGTTCTCCTGAGAGTTGGGCAAATTGTATCTCTGACTCATTCTGTCAATTTTTTGTCTGATTCATCACTTTGCCCTTAATTTTCAAGCATGGCTGCTTCCTTTTACAAACTAATTTTACCTTAAAGGTTTATTTATTCTAAGGGTACATTCTAGCCAGATCACACAGACCTAGAAGGTCTTTGGATATGATCAGAGCAGCCATGTTGCTGGACTAAAATTCCTCTACATTTGTTTTCTTGTGTAGATAAAACTAGTTTTTATTATGAACCACTATTTGTCTTTTGTTTGTTTTATGCCAACCAACCAATGTGAGTTGGTGGCTATGTCTTTTGGGAAAGGCTGATACTATATTGCTCTTGGAAACTATTTACTTTTTCTTTTACTTGTAACATTATGCCTTATCTTATTAATATAAAGTGATGTAATACTTTATTATAGTCAAGTTTACATTTACTCTTTTTTAATTTTAAATTTTTCATACAAAATATTTTGATCATATTTTTTCCCTTTCCCCTAGTCCTCTCAGATCTTAGATCCACGCCTAACTTCATGTTCTATCTGTCAAAACAAAACAACCAAGAAAATGAAACAAAACATAAAAAACCCCCACTTAATCATAATAGAAAAGCATACATCAAAATGTGGAATTAATTTTTTATTGGTCAGCTGGTCCTTGGCATGAAACCTGCCCTGAAGTGTTGTTGATATATCCAGGAACACTCTACTGAGGAAACTCATTTTCCCTCTCTGACCTCATATTAATTACAAATAGCCTTTTGGTTAGAGGTGGGATTTTGTATCCACTTCCTTTTTTTTTGTGCTGAGATTTGTCTTGTTTGAATCTTGCAGATCCCGTGTGTGCTGTCACATGAGCCTTTGAGCTCATGTGTGCATCAATCCTGTCTTCTCTGGAAGATGCTGTTTTATTGGAATAATCTACCACTTCTGGCTTTTGCACTATTTCTGCCTTATCTTCCACGTAGATCCCTGAGCCTTGAAGGGATGGGTTTGATAAAGACATCCCAATTAGGGCTGAGTACTTAGAACTTATTTTCAAGGTGAAAGTACATAAAAGGGTATTGTTGGGAATAGAAGATAAGCAGCCAAATTGGACCAAAATAAAGTGGACAGTTCTATATTTTTTCTTTAATGAAATATTGCCATACTTTTGTGTTCTTTTTACCTAATAAGTATGATAATTGATAGTGTATTTTACTTTGTACTGATAGCTAATCCTGTTTGTTTAAACCATCCAAATTTACAATTTTGTTGAATGATCCAGTGATCATATTATTTTTTTCTTTAACAGCTGTTCTATGTGTCACATATGTTGATAAAGTTGGCAGTTTTGCCAAAACATTTTTCAATACAATTTTCTGAGTAAAGTGTTGTGTGAGAAAATAGAAATCTCTGAGAGTGTAGCTTAAATTTTCTCCTCTTCCCCTCCCCAACCAAGGTATAGTCTGTTTTTCTTTTTTCTTGAGGCAGCTTACATTATGAAGCTCCAGTTAGAATCTAAAAGCTTAATTTCCA